TCTTATTCCTTCTTGTCATGGTAAATTGAATTCATTCATCACAAGCATTAACTCTCTCAAAAGTTCTTACATTTATGCCATCATATTCTTTATTTTGATAAGCTCTATTATAATAATACTTAAAAAAAAGATAAGATGTTTAATATTACTCAAAACAAGTAAAAGAAAGAACTTGAGAGCAAAGAAAATACTAAAAACAATATCAATTTAGAAGAGGATAATCCACAACTTCTAATATGCTCATGTCTTATTAAAAGAAAGAGATAATCTACTCTTGATCAAGAAAAGACGAAGCTTTGATACTATAAGTATATTCTTGTCAATCTATCAAAGACAAGAACTTAATGAAAGCAAATAAATAAAAGAGACTTTCTCAAAGAAGTATGACATAATATAAATAAGGAAGTATGTATATTAAAAAGAAATTAGAATGGCTATTGCCAAAAGACAAAAAAATTAGAAACTTCTTGAAACTAAACTAGAAGCAAAAAAATAGTTGATAAGAATGAAGAAGGCTTTACTTTTGCCTATATATATACTATCTACCTAAGAGCTATGTCGCAATGTTCTAGAGGACCTCCAAAACGTGTTGATTTTGTACAATACATATCTTAACTTGCAAAGCAATTTTTTTATATGGACACCATATAGTTAACTTGTTCTGCAAGCTACCAACATGTGTGGCATGTGGTTAACTTGTTGACCAAGTTTTTAGCCTACCAATCAATTATAAACACATGTAAAGTCAAAGTAGCAACTATGAAGCCTATATAAAGCTTTTCTAGAAGATATTATGAAATTAATCTACTTTTATTTATTTCTATCTATTCATATTATCTAGGTAACAATTATAATAAATATATGTCCATGATATCTATAGATTTATAAACAAAATTAAAAAAAAAAAAATAATAATATTTTAATATTATAAAAAAATATTATTTAAAAAAATAAACAACAATATCTAAAATCAATTAAGTTTAAAATAAAAAAATTATAATTTTTAGATTTTAAAAGCTTTTATTGAAAAATTATTAAATTTATTTGGATTATAATATTTAAAGTTTATAAAATTATATTGAATGTAAATCATATTGTATTTTTTTTTCTTATAATTGGATTTCAAAATATCTCATATGTTAGCTTCTTTTATAATTGCATTTTTTTGTTTCAAGGTTACATTTTTTGGAGCAACATTATATAGAATATTTGGACTTTTCACAATTTTAAGTCGAATCTTTCAACTAATATGAAGTTTTTTTCATATTACAAGACTTTTGAATTGTATTGCATCACTTTACATATTATCTTATTCTAATTGAATGTTTTTTAATAATTAAATCTATTGCTATAAAATTATTAAAATGACATAAAGAACAATTATAATTTTAAGAAATAATTTTATAAAATATATTTCAATTGTATAATTTGATATTCATCAATTATAAATATTTAACAAAATGATCATTAAAACATATTCTAATATATGACAAAATTATCCAATGATTGCAATATTTCTTTAATCAAGAAAAATTATTTGTGTTCAAAATTCTAAATACAAAAGTGGCCATATTTAAATTAGTATATTATAAGATCCACCTCTTTTATATTATAATATATAAATTTCATCTTGTTATTGTGGATAGATATAAATAAAAATGAAAATAATACATTTAGGTCATAAATTAATAAAAATTTCAGTTCAAAAAATAATAAAATTCATAATGTAGATACTCTAATAAGTAGTATTTGAATAATTTAAACTTGAAATCATAGAGTTGGATAATGCTTTTGTTAGAATTTAAGAAAAGTTTCTATCTGATTAGTAAAATTTTAAAACTTGAAACTATCACCATCAAAGATAAAGAGAAGAATAAATTTTAGTCATTTAATGATTGTGACTATATTTCTTGAAAGATTTATAATAAAAAAAATGATCATTCAGATAGTGCACTTATTAATGAAAGTTTATCACATCTCTACATTTTTTTAAATTAATTGTTGTAATAAATCAAATATATTTATAAAAATTCTATATACTATATATTTTAAAGATGATTTTTAAAATAGTTTTATAACTTAAAAGAAATCTTTTTAGAAATCAAAAGAATAAGTTTTGAAAATTATAAAAAACGGAAAAAATTCTAAAAACATTTAAATCTAAACTTTAAATCAATATTTTATTTATTTAAAATGATTAAAGAAATAATATTTAATATTATGTATATGTATATGTATATGTATTATTTACTATTGCTAAGTATGAAAAAGCTAAAGTATCTTAAATTTGGTTTAAATACTAAATATATTTATATATAGTCTTAGTTTTATTTTATAATAATAATAAAATTTATTATTCATAAAAATTACATTTAAAAATTTCTTAAAAACCATGACACTTGATAAACAAGTATTTAAATTATAGGATACTTTTTGGATCATAAAAAACTTTTAGAAGAAGTTAAAACAATTACATGGTATTTTTAAAAATATTTATGGATTTATAATAAACTTAGAAATTTTTTTTAAACTTTGATAAGTAAATATATTGTATGAGTGATATGTTTGTACGCATGTCTATGTACTTTTTTTAAAAAATAGATGCCTATGATTGTTAGTAGAAAAATAAAACTTTGTAGCATTGCATGTAAATTATGACATATTTACAACAAATATTCAAAAAACATAAAGTACAATAATTTAATCTTAAAATTCAAGAAATATATATTAAAATTTTATAATTCAATGAAAATTAAATTTTTAATTAATGTTTAGAAGTATACTTTGAAGAATAAAAATAAAAACCGATTTAAGATAATAAATTAATAAAAAGTTACAAATATTTATTTTTTATTATAAATAAATAGATATACATCAAGATATAAATCGAAATAAAGTGGTCATTTATATCAATCTTAGACACATCATATATAAGCATAATATTTTTAAAATTATGAAATATTACAAAACACTATATTCAAAAACATCTAAATAAAACTCAAAACATCTATTGTTATTATTCACAAATTCTAGTTGTATGTGAAATGTATATATATATATATATATATATATATATTAAATTCTTATTGATTACCATTTATATTTTCTTCAAAAATAAATATTACTAAGAAAAACACACATGGATAAAATTCTATGCCAACTATTTTCATTTCAATTTCTAGTTAATATTTGAACATTTGAATAAACAAAAACACACACACACACACACACACACACACATATATATATATATATATATATATATATGCCTTACAATCCCATTCACATTAGATACTTTGAGATGAATGAAGTAGAACTTTGATAATCTTATTAGAACTTTCATGCATTATAAAACCCTCCCTTGTTTAATATACCCTATCCGACATACACTACTTCTCTTCATCCATTCGTCACCTATCCATCCATCCGTTCATTCATCCACCCATCCAAGTGTTCCTGCTCAGACAACAGAACACACTCAAACTGCCTCGTTCACACGGCAAGACAACGTTGGGTTGTGTGCTTTTTGAGACCCAGCACCTCGTCCAGGTGCTGCTTCAATCCCGACTTTTTCGAGGATCTCCGACGTCACCTCAAATGCAATCATTAGATTCCTCTGCGATATTCCCCTTTGCAGAAGAGAATGTTGCAACATACACACACACACGGCCATAGGACCTTGTCTTTCTCTTTTGTGCACTCTTTTCCCCCGTTTCTCCTTTGTGTTTATTAATTTATTATCATCCTTTTTGTAGTGGAGGAATAGAGTGGTACGAATATTATTAATATTACAGTTATATTCCCATCCTGGCCTTGAATTGAAACCCTAAAGGGAGGGTAGGTACGTTTTGGGAACCAGTTCAGGAGACCAGTTTGAATGGGAACAAAAAGGGAACACGTTCCCTTCAGTTATGTCAGAAAAAAAGGGGGAGGAGTGTGGGGCCCTACAGTCGTCCTGCTAACCATACAATTATGCCAACAGCGACTGTGCATGAAGGGGGGCAGTGATGGGCTCCCTCACCGGGAGGCGGAGCATTTATCATTCATCCATACGTTCATCCATCCACACTCCACCCCAAGTCTTCATTCGGAGTGACACGTTCCTCGAAGCAAATGCCCAATGTCTCTCATTGGCAAGTTACGAGTAATACCATAAATACATTAAACAAAACAGTTTTTATTCCATAACATATTTGTTTATTTATTTTTAAATCCCAAATGAGGAATAGGGTAAGGAAAGGGCATAGTGTGGGCCTTGGAATGGGTGAGGGGGGTATGTGAGCGGGACATGGGTCTAGTTTTAGGAACGAAGCGGATATATATCTATATATATATTTATATTCATACATGTATGTGTTTGTATCTATTTATTACCAGGGAGTGAAGTCAAGGATGTTATTATATGACTGAGGTGATACATTGCTTTATAGTGTTTTTTCAAATATATATATATATATATATATATATATTTATTTATATTGTGGGCCAAGTCCAGGGTAGATTTTCAATACAAGAAAAGGTTTTTCAAAGAGGAAAGAGGTGGAGGCATTATTTATTCATTACCGTGGCAGCAGAAGCAGCAGCAGCTATAGTTCATGATTTGTGGTGTGTCCCAGGAATCTGCGGCCTTTGGACCGGGTCGAGAACTGGTTGGCCTCGGACCGGGCGGAGGAGGATGATGCACGGGAGGGTTGGATGCGATTGATACCTCGTTCTTGCGATCCAACAGGGAACATGGGCTCTTCTTCTTCGTTAAATATGTTGTGGGGATGATTCCCTTCCTTCGCCACTTCCCTTCCGTTCTCCTCGCATCTCACCATTGTGCTCAAATCGATGATCTCCATCCACTGATCTCGATCGAGAGAGTCCTCTTCTTCTTCTGCTGTTGCTGCTGCTTCTTCTTCTTCCTGTCTCCGGAACAAGCCATTACCACCCCCTTTTTCGTCCTTCCCGTGGGTAGTGTCACGCTGTGAGCATTGAGAGACGAAGACGGCGAAGACGGCGAAGAAGAAGAAGAAGAAGAATAATATCAGAAGAAGAAGGAGAAGGAGGAGGAGAGTCGAGAGAGAACTGAGTGTTGAAAGCCGAGAGAAGGTGCAAGACTTGCGTTGCACGAGAGAAAATTTTCCGAATTGTGCACTGCAAGGAGCGTAGGTAAATCCAAGGATTTGTCGTGAGAAGTTACGTCTTGCGAGGAGAAGTGTGTGTGTGTGGTTTTCTGGGACGTGGAGTTGGGTTGGAGTTTTTGAGGAATTCCAGGGGGTGGAGAGAAGTGAGAGATTCTTCTGTGCGAGGGGGCGAGGTTTGTGGGTATTGTGGGGGGTTTGGTGGTAGTTTTTTTTTGGGTGCTTGGGTTAAAATTGTGGTAGAGGATAGGTAATCAGCAACCATGAGTGGGGACAACAGGTTAGAGTGATGGGAGTGTTGGCGGAACGCTAAAGTTTCGGGAGGGAAGAGAGAAAACAGAGAAAGAGAAATAGAGGCAGAGAGAGAGAGACAGAGAGCGTATGTGTGTGATTTGGGGGTCGCGTAGCTTGTTTGCTGGTCTCGTTGGGTTCGCGGACTCGCTCGCAGTGGATATTCATTCGCCGCTCTCTAAATGTCAGGAGAGGAAGATCTGTATCTCCATCAGTCGGAAGCGGAGGCGCTATTTTTCTCGGATGTGCTGCTTGACAATGCGGATGAACTTAATTTTGAGGCATTTGGCGACGTTAATGGACTTGATGTGAGTTTTTTCTTTCGTCACATTTTCCGTCAGTGGTTGTGTTATCTGGTGATGTCTGACTGTGAGGGACGAGTTTAGGCTATAATTGTGCTAGACACCGCTGTGATGAACGGCTTCTGTTTTTTTGTGACATACTGGACGAGAAATTGACGACAAAGCCTCCATTTCGTGACCCAATTCTCCCATGCATCCCTCCACGTGGTTAGATTCTTCAACGGTCGGTGAAGCCTTTGCAGTTAGCAGTCGTCACATGTCCCGTCATAGATTGTGTCTACGGTTGTGTTGTGTGATGACGGTCGAGCTTGAGGAATAAGTTTAGGCTAATTGTGCTAGATACCACTGTAACGAAGGGCTTTTGTGTTTCTGTGTTTTGTGATATGCTCGTAGAACCTCGGTGTTATTATACACCTCACATCTTGTGGAAGAGAAACTGATCTTGGTGTCGGCAATCCCCAGCAATTTGCTCAATTCCGCGACCCAATTCGCCTATGCATCCTTTTGCTTGTTTAGCTTCTCCAACGGTCGGTGAAGCCTCTGCAATTGGCCGAGACATCAACGCATGCTTCTTCTCTACCATGAGCTGCAGGTGCATTTTTTTAGCGAAAATGCACCGCATTTATATCCGTGTAGCTTGTCTAGCTTGAAGATCATGATCCTCGAGCTGCCTTGACGGGCGAAGTTCGTTCTTAGTTCATCATGTCCTTGCCGTTTGTGTCGTCTATTTTTTGTTAGAGCACGGTGAAGCATCAAGGATCGTTGTTACTGAGCCAAGGGTTAGTTGAGATATTTTGCAAGTTCATGTTCTCTGGTGGTTTCTGACTCGTTGATCGTTGTGGTCATCAGGATGGCACGTTTAACAGCATTGCAGGGTCCGATTTGACCGCATTCGAAACCCGAGATATTTTCAAGTCTTCGGGATTGAACGGAGATTCGTTTGTAGACGAGGTTGAGGCCAGGTGTGATGCTAATTCTGTTATCCAGCAGGAAGTGGCTGGAAACGGTGCTCCGTACCTAAATGGAACCCTGCACACCAACTATGGTTTTAACAAACCAACATTGGACCTGGAGAATATTAGCATGGCATATGGTATGTCCGGACTTTATGCTCCAGGAAATGGGGTAACAGGGATGGGATCCCCTTCGAGGCCTACAACGAGCCAGGCTGTGTCCTCAGTCTTAGTGTCGCCGGCTATGGCGGCATCTGAGAAATTGAACGGGCTTACTCTAAGTCAAATGGCACCTCCCTATCGCTCATCTTCGTTTGATAAGCAGACTACTGCAAGTGTAGGATTTTCATCAGGGATGGTTTATCCTTCTACGAGAGCAGTGTCTTCGGCAAAGGGTGGAACGAAGCAGTTCACGTCATCTTCACAGCCTTCACCCGATGTGCATATGGTGACGTCGCAGCCAGCTACTAACGGAATGTCTAGGTTTGTAAGTCAGGAGATGTCTGCTGCAGAGAACAAAGGCCTGCCTCCCATTAATGGCAGTTCGTCACCTGTGTTGTCTCCAAGCTCCTCTGATGGTAAAGAACACGTCGAGCGGATCATTGGTTGTGAAAGTGGGATGAAAATGTCGCAAGAAAAACAATACTGTAGCATGCAAGAGGGAGCAGTTGACACTGACAGCTTTGTCGATCAGGTATTCCTCGCTTTAGCGCGGTTTACTTGTGGCCTATCTGTTCAATTGTTGGCCGCTAAGGAGAATCTGGTTGTCGTGTATATTCTAAAAACTCATACCTTGTTAAGTACCTGTTGCGAATATTTGGAGTGTTTCCATGTGATAAATTCGTTTTCTTCTGCTTAGGTGGATGGAGATGGTGATGGTTTGCAACCTCTCCCTCAAATGACTCGACCGAGCATGCAGCGAAGTTACAGTAGTCATGCTCTGGGCCAGCTCCGACACATTGGCTCTGCACTACCCTCAATGGAGAATGGAACAACTTCTCGCCACTCGCAGATTGATCGACGTGGAGGATTGACAAGTCCAGGAGCGCGCCTACAGCCCAACCTGGCAGAGTTTCAGAGCATTGGTATGCGTCGTGTCTACAGTGCGGGGGATATTCAGGTGAAGTTTTTTATGAAGTTCGTTTTGTGTATCGAAGATACTAGTGCTCGTAGTTCGATTGACTGCACAAGTTCCTTATGTGGGGATCACTTGCTAACAGCGACGATGACATCGTTTTGTTTCTGCTGTGTAGACTTTGAATGGCATGCAAAGTGGATTGAAGGGGAGTTCATCCCCAAGTTTTGACGATGGCAACTACAGGGTGGGGAAATATAGTTTGGAAGAACGGAAAATAAGGATAACCAGGTATCAGCAAAAGCGGTCTCAGCGCAATTTCAACAAAAAAATTAAGGTATATATCCTCTTCTTTTGTCACACATCGATTGCTGCTATCATTTATATGTTTTTTTTACGGTTGGCAGTTGGAAAATTTAGCTCAAAAACAGGTCGGTCTAGCTTGATTATGCTGAAGCGAATTCCAGAAGACTCACGATTTTCTGTGTAAACTTCCCAGTCTTTAAATGATCACAAATCATCCTGGATTCTGATGCAATGCTCTTTCAGTACGCCTGCCGCAAAACGTTGGCGGATAGTCGTCCCCGAGTTCGTGGTCGTTTTGCAAAGAACATGGACGATGATATACCGACTGCCCTTCTGGGGCGCAAGCGTGAAGATGATGAGGATGAGGAGGTAAGTTGAATACTACAACTTTAAGTTCTGAGATACTAGCAGAAACCTCTGTTGTTGAGCACGAAAATAGTGCTTGTCAATCTCCCGCCTTGGAGACATGTGAATTTCGGTTAATACTTTGGAGACATCTTCCTCTTCTGTTAACTCCAATTAATATTCTCCAGTTACTATTCCCGCTTGGGCGACATCTCTTGTGAACAGAAGAATTTAATATCTTAGTTGATAAACTAAAAGTAAACGTGAAATTTTCTTCAAAGAGAGATCTTGTTTATGTGCCTTGTGTATCTCTTCATTGTTTGCTTGAAATCCCTTTTTCCATTTACATGAAATCCATATTTTCCTAAGATGATCAACTTGCTGTAATTGCATTTTGAACGGATCCTAATGCGAACGTAGTGGCGTTTAGAAAGTTGAAACGATTTGCCGAAATTTCTTTAGCTTGAAGAGAACAACGTGTGTTGAATCTTTGACTTGGGCACTGAATGTCGTCGTTTTTGAGCAGGGTGATGCGCATGTTGGAGAAGGAACCAATGGATTTCTTTTCGGGAATTCCTCGGGAGATTATTCCGATATTCTTACATCTATAAAAAAAGAGCATCGCACAGTGAACAGTATGTAAATTGGAAACTCACAAAATTGTTGCGTTTACGAGTTGGCTGGATGTTTTCTCTGGTCAATAACCCCCACCAACTTCACTGATTTCATCTTAGTGTTTATGAATCTTTTCAAGCTTGGACGTCTGTCACCTGGAGGACGATTGGCACCTTCTGGATACCTTTACATCGGCCTCTAGTAGTTGTTCTATGCTTTCAGTGGTGAGCTTATGTTGTAGAGCAAGCGGGAGACTATTTTAGTTGATCGATTTTCTAAACACTAACGCATCAATATTACCATTAATAGAGTGGGAAGATACGGTGGATATTGTGCAGTGGTGTTCTTTCATTTCAAATTAGTGGTTGCTTAAGCACTGGAGTTGTGTTTTGTGCGAGAAGAGGGTGCACATGGAGTTGCAGTGTGATGCTGTAGACATCTATGAACAAGGCAATCAGTTCTGTAATTATTGGATGTAGCAGAAAAGCAAACCCATTTGTAATATGGCAAGTTGCGTTGTTTTCTTACAAGAGCTGCAAGGCGAAGTGCTTGTAGGAATACACTTTTCTGCTGGTTTTTCCTTGGTCCCTTGCTTCTGGTGATTTTTCCCTACCCAAACCAGATTTTTAAGGGAAGGTTTGTCAAATCACCTTAGCTAAAGGTAGTTTGCTAAGTATTTTATGGTAGTGTGAAAAGAGCATGAGAGGAGCATGTGTGAAGAACATTTCCCAGTGATTCTCCGTTCACTAGTTTGATCAATAACAGGATTGCTTGGTAGTCCGCTACACAAGCTTCATGCCTGAAACTCTTCATCCGTTGATAGTGTAATCAATGAATAATGGGGATGCTCTCTCGATTGACCGCCACTAATGTGCTTGGTCAGCTGCACACAATTGTAGCTACTGCAATAGCTTTCTCATAAATGTCAAGCTACTACTTCTGCTTTGAATAAAACTTTCCCAGGGAATGGTATGCCAATTCTATTTCAACTTTTATGTGTCTCACTATGCTCTCTCTCTCTTCCTACCGACATGTGCAGTCGTTGGTTATTTGATTGCCTTACATCGGAACGTGGTCAGATTTTGCAGTGCTGGTGTGACGAGTCTTGTGTGAATGGTGAAGAAATTTTCAGAATAGAGCTGCCTCTCTAAACGATGCCTTGTGTTTTAGCATTGATTGTTTGAAACAGCATTTTAGTGGAGTCTTGGGTACTTTTATGCCCAGGCTCAAGGAGAGAAGGAAATAACGACGCCGAGGAACATACAATTTACAGCAGCTGACAAAACAAAATGGTACATTAGCTGTGGACGCAGAGCTCGTGCGATTCTGAGGCCAGAAGTCTGAGATGGAGGCATTTCTCATTCAAACGATGCTGACAATTCATCAACTGACTCTCCTGGTGCGTACTGCCATACGGCATCATTACGGTCTCTGGCACCTGAGTGAGATCTTCATTAAAGCACTGCGATCATAACAGTTTCTCACATGGCACTGGCTGCTGCCTCTCAAGTTCCCACGTCTATTTTCTGCCGGAATTCTGACACTTGGCGGAATGGCAAACTGGACCTTTATCACCAAAACGTCAGCCCACCTCCTTGTTTCGCCGACTCCTCACAGAATGTTTCGATGCAGCGACTCATTTCAGTCATTCTTTTAAGACTGCTTCTGTGAGTTCTTGTTTGCCAGTTTCTCAACATGGATATCAATGAGCCTCTCTTTGAAAAACGCTTGGTTTTTATTAAACGCAGAAAAATAAAATAAACTAAAATAAATAAACTTTATGTTTTAATAAGAAGTTTTAACTTTACTGTCAAACTTTTATCTTCCTGCTTGTGAGGCTCAGATATTTCTGCTTAAAGATTTATCCGGGATTCAAAGTGATTTTGTATCTTGTGCAGGGTTCGACGTGTATGGGATGCTCGGTTCATTCGGTGAGCTTTATTCTCGGATCCTTTCTGATGCGAAAGGTGTGTAAGAAGCATAGTGGGAGATAATAAAAAAGATAAACAAACTCTTCGGTATATCTGGAATCAATTTTGTTGGTGACTTTTCCGCACCGCTTGAGCCATGTCAGGGCGTCTACGACTTTTAATTGGAAAAGGTGCTGGGCAGAAATCCAGCAGGATTTAATGGTGTTTCGACATGGATAGGGATCTACAGTTCTTGGCCATTCATTCGTTTTGAAGCATGTGCGCGGCTGGATTTGCAACGAAGGTAATGCTGCGCTTTCCAACGCCGGAGAAGGTTATGGTCATTACTGATTGTGAACGCATGGAGGCGAGGAGGCGAGAGGGAATTCCTCATACCGCAGGACTGTTGCAGTGGTTCAACTTTTCTGCTGATTCGGCCGTTTCAGCATTTCAGGATTCCAGAGCTATGGCAGATGTGATATAGCAAGTGTACGATGTGACGAACACCACGAACATGCCAAAACAAACTCATGGACAGTGATATCGGTGTTAGTGGTGTCGTTCATGGCGGTGAAGATCACATCACCACTAAACTCAGATTCGGTGCTTTGAGGGGGGTATTCCCGAATTTTATGTGGATGCCATACGATCTGATCATAAGAAGCTTTGTCCTGACGTGTCTCGAGACCGTCTTATGCCCCGTTTTTTCTTTTTCTATTTCTTCTTTTACTGTTGGCAGGTGCGTAAATCATGTTTGGATAGACGCTGTGTAGAATTTGAATGAGGTTCATGCTAATCGCTTCCCGAAAGATTGTTTTGAGAGGCCGGAAATTCTTAGGGTTGAAAGAGAAAGTCACGTATATGATGCTATGGGTTGCTCCTCTCAGTTAATGTAAATCTTTTGACTGCTCCCACGCGCTGCATCGAAATATCTATCCCGATTCTTACCCTAGCATTTGACACGTTTGTAGAATTTTTGGGTAGATGTAGAAGGAAATGCTTTATGGGCACCGTTACAGTGGGACTGGTGCCTTTAGCTGCCAGCTAAAGTGATACCCCTTGGGTACTTACACATAAAGTTTGTATTTATGAAGGAGCCCATTAACAGACATGGGGCGGGGAGACAGTTGTGCACGAGATTATTCTAGCGTGGTCGGTATTCCTCTCCGGATTCCTGTCTCGTAATTGCAACTATTTCTGCAGTTTCTTTTTTGTGCCAGGCCTGAGCTGCAGACTGTTTTTTTTGTAAGTGCTACTGCAATCAATTCAGGGTGCCATCTTCTCACCATTCTTATAATATGTTGTGCTAATGGCCGTCTGTCATTGATGCAATTTTTTAGAATGGAATTATTATAAGGCTATCTCTGATTCAACTCTCGCATTTTGTCCTTCAAATTGACTTGCTTGGATTCGTTTTGCCAGCGTGAGGTTCATAGGTTTGCAGGTGTCGGTGATGCAGCTTTTCAAGCCTCCGAAAGCACCATGTCAAATGCAAAAAAACCATCCAAAATTATTTCTGGACACTGGGTGGATCTCATGTGCTTTGCATTTCCAGATTATTGTAAGCAAGACCACCCAGACAATCTCCTACTTTATTAACTATCTGAAGAGTATGTTGCTCATTGTTGCAAATGCTGTTGCATGCATGGTTTCGCATATTAAACTGAAGACTGATTTGGTGCTTTATGCTGAAAACTATAATTGTGAAGTGTTGTGATAGCTAAACCTGATATCTTCGTTTGTTCTAGCATTGTGTGCTATAGGTATGAATAAGAACAAAAAGATTACACTGTTACTAGAACTTTGTTGTACGTTAAGATTATAAAGCTTGCTTTCAGATAGACTCGAGAATTTCGAACAAGCTTATCATATTATATTATATTAGTATGTCTAATATAAAGAGAGCCAATACAGATTATTTCACACTACTCATTTCGGACAAGCTTATCAAAGTATTAGTTGTTGATAGCTGAAAAGAGTATCAGTGTGAAATCTGTATTGGCTCTCTTTAGATTATTCTAAAATGGGTTTTGGCCTCCACTAATTGGAGGCAATCTTAACTTGATTACACTCGAAATGGCATTTGGAACCAATCTTGAATTTTGTTGATAGAAAATTTTCGGAATGTATAGAAATGTATTTATATTTGATATATCAGGATATGTTCTTTAACATCACCAGTAATTGCTTTGAGACTTTGTCTTTTGGTGTTTTTGATATTGTTTTTTCTTTTGTAACTACAACATGATTTCAGGGAATATAAAATAAAATAAAATAAAATAAAATGTTCACTCTTATTTTCTCCTACTATAGCTTTTGGTTTAACCTTTTCTTTATTAAATTATGATTTTAAAGTTTAACCAATTAAATACTTTAAAAGTTTTGGCTTTTTACCCTCATTTCTAAGTATAAAGATTTCTCAATTTACCTCATGAATAAAAACCAATTTTATCTAATTATTTTTGTTTAAAGTAAATATCATATTTATTACTGAAAAAAATCAATAATTTTTTTTATTAAAATAAATAAATAAATAAATAATAAGCGCATATATTCAATGCTCAAATCTTGGTAATATCAGTAAAATTTGATATTGCAAACAAGAGAAGCCTAATATCTAAATTCAAAAACTCTCTCAAAGAATTGAATATTAACAAAACTACATGACCAACATTACTGCAAAAATTACAAAATCTCAGTCATTGGCTGCAAAAATGCACCTAAAATTAACATTCAGCAGTAAAGTAATTTGAAGGGATTAGGAAATGTGGGTTGCTGAGTTTGAGTAAATAATACATTAAAATGTCAGTTTGATGAAGGCTATCCATCAATATAGCATGGCACACATCTCCATTGTTTTGTTCATCTGCTTGTGTTTCTAATTGTTTCTCATTTTTTCCTTAGGCACTAATTTCAACATCAATTTGCATTCTAAGATTTAGAGGTTATAGGTTGGAATAGGCAAGGAATCTATATTTGCAACAAGTGGTGTTGGTTTCACGTTTTCAGGTAAGACATGGCAACAACCCCCACTACATACATATATATATATATATATTGTTGATGTGAGGGTATTATTCTGATAATAGCATAATAGAAGCAAGTAACGTCATGAGTACACAGAGTATCTAAACATGTTGAAGTCCACACAGAGACAGCTATCAATCAATGCTGGTACTGTCACATGATTTAATAAGATGGCCCTTCATTCATATATATATATATATATATATTTGACAAGCTCATTGTGAAGACAATATTTTGAATCTGGTTAGTGCAGTCTTTGAAAGGGGTTGATGGCAAAGAATATTGGCTGTCAATTCCCATTATTGTCCTCCACCACTTCTTTAGTGACTACACCACCAACCAAAACTAGTATACGTTTCGTTCTTAAAAGGATTTATACCTCTGGATAGTAGCTCTCGACTTTGTGGAACAACTAGAGAAGTAATTAAATGGCTTCTCTTGAATTAGTACTGTAGTTGTGTTGAGGTTGTAATTAACTCTTTGATGCTTTTGTTTGGTTTTCTGGTATTCTAGTTTTCCCACCCACGTAAAGGCTTGAGTAGCCTGCATTGAGAGCATTCCTAAAAATTCAACCAAATAAGATCAATTGTTTTGTACACCCAGTGAATGTGTTCTGTCGGTAATTCTTCCTTTTGACCTGAACCATGGTGACGGCCAACTCTTTTATGCTCTTCGTAAACAAGGCAGACGAGGCATAAGCTCCTACTTCATGCTGGTGAATAATTAACGTAGATGTTACTGCAATATCGAATATTGCAGTAAATAAAAAACAGACTCGTCACCGTTTGAACTTGCATACCAAATATGGTGACTGCACCTCAAACTTTTTGATGAATTAACCAAGTCTCAACTGTACGCGACTGAGCGGATAATATAGAAGTGATTAATATTAAAATCAAAACTTGTATATGCAGTTTATATCAGCTAGATTTTTTTTGATTATGAAGTGTCTAGTCCCAGCGCTTACTGGGTCTTTCATAAACCTGTCTATCTACTGTAAAGTAAATCTTCTGTACATACATGGACACGAATTTTAGTACTTAAAAGCTACATGTGCAATTATTTGACAGACACAGCCCAGTATCTGTAGCACATTTTTCAAACCCTCAAGATAAAGAAGGCATTGATCTACCACGTAGCATTCTAAAGCACAAGTCTTCTCTCCTCAAAAATCTGAAATAGAGGGGAAAACCTCAATGAGATGGCTTTATCCTTCTCCCTTGCTCGCGCCAACTCCTCGTTCAGGTCTCTTCCTATTGACTGAAAATCTTCAGCGTCTTGGTGAATGTGGACATCGGTTAATCCTCCTTGGATGACGGAATCAGGGCGTGAAAGGAGAACGCGCCGATGCTCAAGCTCCTCCAGTCGCTGCTGCTCCTTCCGAAGAATGTCGTCCATTTGCGCTTCCTCAGTCCGTGAACGATGAACCTGGTTAAGCAAACGATAGTCGACCCCACATTGTCTGCACTGTTCTTGCTCAATGTGCATCTTGCAGTACCAGATACCCTTGCAGATGTAGACACCGTTCACTTCTCTACCTTCGTCAGGGTCCTTCATAAAACCATAAATCACGCAAAATCAATTAGTCTTCTTGCGATTGGAGTGAAAAATCACATTAAACACAATCCATCAATAGGTTACTTCATAAAACTAGAGACATACCAAGGGTATACAAACAGTCAAACACAAGATCAAACTCTAGTACACTGTCATAACTTCACTCAGACAGTAAGAAATCCAGACACCAAATTAAACTAATAAACGCGACTTATGAGTGCAAGAGGACATTACGAGATAGAATTCTTTCACTGTATAGAAACGTCCAACTAAAATGTTATTGAGCTTGTAAGAGCACCTTGAAAAGCCTTCTTTCATTTGCATCACAATCAACCCTATCTAGAGCCTCCTTCACATCTGCCATAAGTTTTTGCCGATGCGACCGCCCAGACAAAGTGCTGTTACCGGTTGCTGAGTTAGAGGATGGATTTGAACGGGTGAGAGAACTTCCTGCTTCTTCGTTTTCGAACATCTGCAACAGAATTTTAGCTTGCTCGTGCATGGCCACAACCTGAGGAAGCTGGTAAAATCGATCCGTGATTCGTTCGCACATGTGTATACATTTCTTTAGCAAACTGGGTGTGTCAATAGCAGACTTATTCTCGTACACGACTTGGAAAATGCTTAGGAGTTCGAGCATCTCAGCTTGCAACTCTGGATCAGGAGGGGCTATCTGTGGGGACGCCGCACTCTGGAAACTAGTCCGGAACTGGGATGAAGCCTCTGCTAAATCATCTGGTAAGATATTTTGCAACTCGTTGCTGCTGCTTACATCTACAACCTCTGCATCCTGCGTCTGGCTAGCTACCGATGACGGAGTTTCTTGTCTGTTATCAAATACGCCATCCCATATCGAAGCATCTGCAAACTTGTTGTATTCGTACAAACGTCCATAGTCATCGAGTTCCTGAAACCCGTCAGTTCCCTACGCAACCACAAATCAACATTCCCTAAAACATTGCGGTAATCCATCTTCAACCACAAAAGTTACCAGGAAGCACAACCCACACAACAATCAAACATCTTCTGCCACGACCAATATGTCCAAAATAAAAAGAACATACGCAAGGCCAACACCAAAATTGGCATGACTTAACCCTGCTAAAAGCGCCAAAACAAACATACTCACACCGCTAATCTAAAATGTCCCCAGAAGTACCTCAACCATTCCTTCACTCAGCCCTTCCGCCGCAAACAATGAAAACAATACCTCATTGGTGCCATCCTCCAACAAGTCAGCGAACGAGGCGAACGAATCCTCCATAACTTCCCTCCTAAGTCAGACCCTCCTCATCAACATGATACAACTTCAACTCACAACCATAGTCAATCCACCAATTGATCCGCTTTGCTTCTGGCCCAAAAACTCAAAACCCTGACAACCCAGCTCCTATTCTTCCTCCTGCTCAACGTAAACACATTCCTCATCAACATGATGACAAGAGCTCCAACCCAGAACCACTCAAGCCTCCATTGACTCACTCTGCTTCTTGCCTTACACCTCAGAACCCTGATAGCCCAATTCCTCGTTCTCTTACTCAACGTACACAATTTTCAGAGAAGTACATCCGATCGTCACCGTAATGGTATAAAATCCCTAACCTTAGGTCAGCAAACTTGAGCCTGATGGTGGGAAAAACTCAAATAATATCACGGTTGTTGTGCGGCATCTACTGTGAAATTGAATTTACCTCATAACAAGTCAGCAGGGGCATGAGACGGTAGGATGTGGTGGGTGAGTGCGTGGCAACCACTGCCATAGCCAGAGCAGCGGATATTACTATATACAGGGTGGAAAGTCGATGGAAAGTGTCTTGCATAGCTGCGAAATATATGCAGCGGCGCTTTGTAATCTCATGCGCAACAATACACACAACTCGCAATTCCTTGCAAAGAAGTTAAAAATTTGAGATCTCATGAAGGGGGGCATCATAGCTCTCGTTAAAGGTTTCTGATGGCAGCAACGTGAATGCGTTCACACCGCAGTCGCAACAAAGCCTCCGCTAGTGTGAATAGATGTCAATAAATATATGCGTTCACATTGGAGTCGTCCGACGCGCCGGATGGTGTGGACCAAAGAAAGAATTGTCGCGTTCACACTGCGCGAAACAAGATTTCTTTGGAAACGTCTGCCTTGAACCATGAGTCCTTGTAGAATGATCTTATAATAGAAGCTCCATATATCATTGGTTTTTCTTGGTCTATTCTTGTGGAATTTTCAAAAAATATATATATATTAGTGAAATCCTATTTTATTTTTAAAATATAAAGGAGTATTTTTATTTTTTTTAATTAAGAAGATAAATTGCATTTAATGCCATAAGCAAAGCAACTATAGATGATGCTCCAAACTTATCTTAATAAGTGGTGAATAATTTCATGTGAAAGAAGATTTTCCTTCTCTAAATCTAGTTTGCTATCTCTAATCCTAATCTTTTTAATTTATTAAATATCTTAATTTTATTATAGAATCTTTTTTGTATTGTTTATAGATTTTTTCTATACACTTTACTTTTATTCTATACTAAAATAAAAATATTTATTTTTCTTCATGCTCAGATTATTTTTTAAAATAAAATAATTCATTTGCTCCCATGTGATTCAAAATGAGTTGTTATTATTGGTAATAAAAGATTTTTATGTCTTTGAGATCAGTAAGAAAAAATTTATATATAATTTTATCTATTATTAAAGATTTTTATAAGTATGAAGTTCTATAGATGAAAGTCTAATAAAATACAAAACCATTTAGTTTTTGATACTTTTAAAAGTAACTATTTGTTAGCTTGTTGTATTATAAGTCATTAATTTGAAGTATTCTAACTTTGTGTAGTTTAGTTATTTTTACTTACTTAATTTTGGTTCTAATTATATGAGTATTTTTTTTTATTTTTTTTATAAAAATAACTATAAAATAAACTTTATCTAGATGAATACACTTGAAGTACTTAATATAATCTTTTATACTCTATATATTCTTTTCATAATCTTTCAATCTATTGAAAATTTCAATGATGATTTTGTTATCCAACATTGATTATTAGGATAAATAGAGAGCAATTCATAAATAGAGTTAAATTTCCCATTTAATTATAAAGTTAGTGAATTTCCATCCACTTATGCTAATATATGCTTAAGCACTTGTGAATAGGATTCTAATCATCTTTATAAAGTTTTATTAAAATATAAGGGATTTTATTGATTTGAAGATAATTTTTCAATTATTTCAGTTAAAAGCTTTTATAAATTCTATTTTTTTTAAAAAATATATTTTTTAATCTAATTTATTGCTTGTGGACTAAAATCACATTATCTTAGATGTATCTAAAGAAGAAGAATATTATTTTATTGTGGTCATTTAATTCTAATATGATAGGTTGAATTCTCATCTAATTTTTTTTTTCAAGATTTGGTAGTTAGAATAAAAAAGAATTATAATTTATTAATTTATTAATTTATTATTTTTAAAATATTATTTTTATTTTTCTTTTTGATTTTAATTTCAAAATTAACAATCTTTTACTATAGATTGTGAAAAAAATGATTCTATAAAAATTAATTAATAAGTTAGAGATAGACCACATCTTTTTTAACTACAAAAATTTAAGATGTTGATATAATAGATGACATTTTAAGCCATTTACTAAGTTGATGCAAAAATTAATAGCTAAATTTCAAGATTTAGTTATTAAAGTTCTTTATCAAACTTTGAATATAAAGCAAAGTTTTATTAATGGTGATTTTTTTAGATTAATTTTTAAGTTATAAGTTGAATCTTTTTAAAAGTTGTGAATTAGTACATTACTCATAAAGTTAATAATGTAAAAAATTTTAAATTAATTTTATAATCTAATTAGAAGTGTTATCCATTGAAATTTATTTTTTTGTGCTTAGGACTTTTTGGAGGTTTTTTATAATTTTATTAAGATGTTTTAAGGCTTATTTAGGATTATTTTAGGATTTTTTTTCGTAATAAATATTAAATTTAGAATTTAAGATTTAAAATGATTTAGATTTTAATATTTATAAAATATAAGGTTTAAATTTTATGGGATACAAGTTTTAGGATTTATAGAGTATAAGATTCAGGATTGATAAGGTCTAAAGTAGACAATCAAGACTTTCTTAAATTTAGGATTTCTATGAAGATAAACGTTTTTAAGAAATATATTTCTGAGCATCTTTTTTTTCTTTGTTATAAGACAATTATAGATTGCAGATAGTTTTCTTCTATAACCAAGTATTCAATGCATTTGCAAGCTATGCTTTATGTAATGTGAGAATGTTGCGTAGACATAAGATGTCATTCTACAAAGAAAAGAGTGTATTAAAGAGAATTTGTAGTGAGAGTTTATTGATAGTTGGAGATTGATTAATCTATCTTTATAAAGTTTTTTAAAATAATTTTGATAATTATTATTGCTTTAGATAAGACATTCTATACAAAAGAAAAAATATTACAAATGTTAAAATAAAACAAATAACTATTTGAATTCTATCTATTAAATTAATTTTTTTAAAATACTTATAATTTAATAATATTTATGTTCTTTAGTCATAAAATATATAAATAGTTCTTGAAATTATTTACGTAAAAAATTGAAAGTTTGAAATGTATATTAATATTTTCCTACATGTTCCATTGCTAGTTAAATTCCTACAAAGTTTTTTTTTTTTATTATTTTTATTTTTATTTTTTTCTTCTTCTTTAAAACATCCCATGACTAAAACTTATAAAGCAATTTTCAAATAAAATATCAAGTCAACTTAATTATTCCATATCTTTTTTTCTAAGATTCTTCTAATTTTTAAAATATAAAAATAATTTCTTTGAAAATAAATAATTAAATAAAATATGTATCAAAAATATTTAATTCAAAAAAAATTACACATATATATATATATATATATATATATATATATATATATATATTAAAATTTTAAAATATAAAAAATATTGGTATAATATATTTAAGAATTTAGAATTAAATCTTATTCAAAATTAATTCATAAAAGAGAAGTTTTATTTTTAAAAAGCTATAATTTATAGTTGTAAATGTTTATTAAAAAAATTCTGCTTTGATATTATGGCTAATAAGATAAAAAAAGAAAAAAGAAAAAATAAACACAAGGTAGATAGCTTTTTTTTTTAACTATATGGACACCTCTTCATGCCATACATTGATTTGATGAATAAATAATATGAATGAACATCATTTTAAAATGTATCTAAGATTCTTCTATTATATTTTTACTTATATTTTAATATTTAAAAAATAAAATAAATTTAAATTCTATAAATATATAATAGAATATAATTTCTATAAAATATATCTATATAAAATAAATTTATTATTTTATGAAAAATGATAAAGTGATCCAAATTTTTACTAAATTGATCCATATATTTAAATCATCATTGTACCCTTTCAACCTTGTCCTTGTTTCTAGCTATTTCCTTATTTCCAACCATTGGCCTTATTCTTAGTCCTTCACTCTTGTCTTTAGTAATAGTTGAAAATAAGAAACAATTAAAAATAGGAATAGAGACTGCAAGAAAGCAATGATGATTAAGGTAGAGTGATTTGTTTTAGTATTAGGGACATAAATTCTAAAAAAAAAAAATCCTCAATACACTCTTATATCATTCAAAAAAACTAAAAAATCATTCAAAGATGACATAGTATTAAATTAGAATAGCTATTACTGAAGACAAAAAGATTAAAAAGTCTTAAATTAAGACTAAGGAATAGAAAAGCATTGACAAGAGTGAAGAAAGATTTAATTTTGTCTCCTTATATACTCTTAACTACAAGCTATGTGGTAATGTCTTTTAAGACCTCTAAAACGTGTTGACTTTGCAAGACACGTATCTTAACTTGTAAGGCAAGTTTACCATATATAAGCCACATAATTAGTTTCTTCCAAAAGCTATCAACAGTTAGTTAACTTATTGACCAAATTTCTAATCTACCAATCAACTACAAACACATGTAAAGTCAAAGTAGTATCTATAAAGCTTCTAAGAAGCTATCCTAAAAATATTATGAAATAAATCTATTATTATTTATTTTTATTTAATCATATAGATAAATATGTATGTCTATGACATTATTCTCCTTTTTAGAGACGAATTCCATCAAAAGCAATCATCATATGTAAAAAAAATCTAAAATGCAAAGAATTATGTATTTTACATACTTTGATCTTTATTCTCTTCAAAGATGGTTGATGGGTTTTTTCAGCCATCAATAATATTCCATACTAAGGTAAAAAGACTATCCTAATATTTGATCATTATTGAGGCTTTTGTAACAACCTTCAAATAAAACATTTGGAACATCGTCATGAATTGTTGTAATTTCTAATAAAATCATCAAACATTGGAAGTCTCTTCCAAGGTTGTGATATTAAATATGTTGTATCTTGACATCTATTTGAGGAAAGACATGTCTTTTTTGAGGATTTTCATCTTGATTATTTCATCTTGAAAGTTGTGACAATTGCAATGTCTTATCTAATAAACTAACAAGTGATAATTCTTGAGTTGAATCTATTGGTTGTTGATTATCTATCTCCTTAGCATCACAAATACATAGAAGTTACAAGTAAGAATATAAGATAGAATGCTATCTTTCTTATATATATATATATATATATATATATATATATATATAGACAAAAATTTGCTATTCTTTATTTTTGTTTTGATGGATGTCATCAATGAAAAACTTCAACTCCTTTTTCAGAATTTTTTAGAATAATCACAAATATATCTTAAATAAATCTCAAAAAGTCCTAATGTAATTCTAATTGAAATCCTAATGGACTTCAATCAAATCCTCGACCAAATCCTAAATCCTAAGAAAACTTTAAATTTTAAATTTTAAACCAAATCCTAAAT